GACATCGACAAGTCGTTTCTCGCTGAGTAGAACTTGATCCAAGTTCTACTCTCTAAAAGTCAATCGGTGAATTATCAACAGTGAATAGTCACTGATTTGCAGTTATAAGTGTACTACCGAAAACTACAGCGAGAAATGACTTGTCGATCGATGTCGAATCGCCGTCAATTTGAATCGACATCGTTTCGACATCGCTCGCCAAGTCATTTCTCGCTGGGTAGCCTCGTGCGACAATTTCGTTAATCCTTCCTAAAAAGGTTCTGATAAAGGCATTTCCGCCTTTGTCCAAATCACAAATCGATTATTTGTAAGTGGGATTATTCGGCTTAGCCATTACAGGAAGAAGTTGTCACTAATTTATCGCAGATCTGATCGATTGATTTATGCGACAAAACACAAACACGAAGATATAACAAACGCGTCAGAGAATAGATAACAAATGGAATATCCAAGTAACGTCACGCGTAAGGGATGTAAATAGATAACGAAGCCTTGTGTGCGTGCAATCCTCTCGAGTGCAGCTTCATTGAAGTATCAATGAAAAGCTTAACTCTATAACAATAACGGCCCGTTTCTTTTTCAGATATACTCGTACGTACGATATATCCAATTTATTCGAAACACAAGCGATTCCTTTGCTGAGCGCTCTTGGGTGTATCTCGAAAACCTTCTCGCGCGTGAACACGTACGCACGTAGAGTGTTCTCCATGTAAATAACACAGCTAACGGGACTCGAATAGAATTTTTACGCGTGTGCCGTTGCGACACGTGCATCCTCGAAGATGTGCCGTTGAAGGCGCCGACGAGGAAAGTTCGAAGCCGCGTACGAGGAAGGCATGACAATCATTGACCGGAGTGATGGTCGAGCTGTTGGGCTTGTCTATGTAGGTAAAGGCCAGGCGACTCCGGCGGCAGAAGCTTAACGAGGGGATTCCCCCGGGACGCGAACTCCTCGAGGAAGTCGAGACGTTGGCCGGAAGCCGCGCTCGTGTTTCTCCCCGTCGCGGTTCGCGCCTCCTCGACGAGGTGCGCGTGTCATTGCGTACGTCAGGGCACGTACGTGAGTGCGCGCGTACGTGATCGCACGCGGGCGCATCGCGGGCGAACGGCCGCGGAATAGAAAACGCGCGGCCGAAAGTTCATTCACCAAATCCGGGGAAGGAAGCTGCCGCGCACGAAGGTTGAACGGACGACGGTGGTCAACGAGGAGGGTGCCTCGTTGTTCCTCGCCCGAAACCGAAGAGTTAGCCGGCGAGAAGCGACTCGTCAATCGATGTCGACTCGACGTCGTTTCGACGAGTCATTTCTCACCGGGTGCGTTTCTCTTGCGACACGCGTGCAATGCATTATCTTTGTCAGCGGTAGGCTAGATTTAAAAACGATAAAAAAAACCAGTACTTTTAATTAAGGCCGAGATAGCGAGACCTCTCGCTAAACGGAATCTCGTTATCGCCTAACGCTTTGCCTGAGTCACGAGCGACCGCAGCGGCACAATGAAATTTCGTAAAAACTTGGTCGGGCGAATGATTTATTATTGGCGGAAGGAATCGCGAGGAAAAAAAGTAGGCGTGTATCGGCGATAATGGCGAAAAATAATCGGATAACAGAGATAAGAGAGAAAGATAATCTAATTGTAGGCCTAGCGAATTCGTTCCGCGTAGTCTCGCGGAAAGCAAATAACTTCTGTACAAACAAACTGTATGAAGTATTAAGCCAGGATATCCCGAGATCTTCTCGTCGCGAGTTATATTGCCTCCTGATTACATTTAAACGACAGTAATAAACAACGAAGGAGTGCTTTTTTTTTATGGAAAAATGTTAATCTGTCTTACGCAATTTAATACAATTTTACGGTATTGTTCATTATCTCTGGTCTCTAGCAGCAACAATCGCTGCCCAAGGAGAAGAAAAAGTCAGGATGATGTCAATTTGATGTCATATTGACCAAATTTATGTCAAATTTTGGTCAATTTGATGCCATATTGACCAAGATTGGACACAAATTTGGTCAATATTACATCAAATTGACATCATCCTGACTTTTTCTTCTCCTTGGGTGTTCGCGCCTAAAGTTACGAGTCACGGTGATTAGGCCTCAGTTGGTTAAGCCCTCGGAATGATTGGGGCTCGCCTCAGTTGGCTGAGCTTTCGGAATGGCGGAATTAACGGCACTGCTAATTGGCGAAATTGTAATTGCAGGCAGCCAACTGCCGCAACGATGGATATTTGCCATCATGGGATTCTTGGCGATCCTGAACGCCTACACCATGAGAGTCTGCCTCTCGATCACCATCACGGAGATGGCGATTAAGATAGAGCACAATTACACAGATGATACTTGTCCGAGAGAGTATAAGAATGATACAAAGGACGACGATTCCGAGAAATACGACTGGGACGAACGTACGCAGGTAAAAGATACTTTACGCGAAATGATTATATTATACTTAACTAAATTATAATATCAAGGGGCTCCTACGTTTCCTCCTCACTTTTATCTTTACCCTTACGTTTCGCCTTTACTCTTGCTTATTTCTATATTTTCGTACTGTTACCTCTCTCGTTCCAGGGCCTTATCCTCTCGTCTTTCTACTGGGGCTACGTCATCACGCATCTGCCGGGCGGGATGCTGGCTGAAAAGTTTGGCGGCAAGTACTGCCTCGGTCTTGGCATGCTCTCGACAGCGATATTCACCCTGCTGACGCCGGTGGTGGTCAAGTGGACCGAGGCGACCGGGCTGATTGTGCTGCGAGTCCTCATGGGCCTCGGCGAGGGCACGACCTTCCCGGCGTTGAACGCAATGCTGGCGCAGTGGACGCCGCCGGAGGAGAGATCGGTGATCGGCTCGCTGGTGTTCGCCGGCGCCCAGCTCGGCACGGTACTCGCTAACTGGGCGTCCGGTGAGATGCTGCACAATTACAAGTGGCCCGTCGTGTTCTACGTGTTCGGCGGCATCGGCGCGTTGTGGTTCGTCCTGTGGGTGTTTCTCTGTTACAACAACCCGTACGAGCACCCGTTCATCTCTGAGAAAGAGGTCAAGTTCCTGCACGATCGTATGAACGAGCATACTCATAAGAAACCACCGCCCGTGCCCTGGCGGTACATGCTGAGCTCGGCGCCCCTCTGGGCCCTGATCGCCGCTCAGGTCGGCCACGACTGGGGTTTCTTCACCCTGGTCACCGATCTGCCCAAGTACATGAGCAGCGTGCTCCACTACTCCATCAAGGAAACCGGCTTCGTCTCGGCGTTGCCCTACCTCGTCATGTGGTTCTCCAGCATGGGGTCGTCCTGGCTGGCCGACTGGATAATCACCAGGGGCGTGATGTCGCGCACCAACGTGAGGAAACTCGGCACCACAATCGCCTCCATAGGTCCGGGCGTCTTCATCATCGCTGCCTCGTACGCCTCGTGCGACAAAACGCTGGTGGTGGCCCTGTTCACCATCGGCATGGCTCTGATGGGTACGTATACGTAAACTCGCGCCCCCCGCGATTCCGCAAAGTGAAATTCGCGGACTCAAAAGTATTCCCTCGCCGTCTTAACACTCGTCTCTTTTGCGATCTTCCAAAGGTACCTTCTATCCCGGGATGAAAGTCAACGGGCTGGATCTCAGTCCCAATTACTCCGGCACCCTGATGGCGTTGGTGAACGGGATCGGCGCCTTCACCGGTATCATCACGCCGTACATCGTCGGCGAGCTGGCGCCCGAGCAAACGCTCACCCAATGGCGAACCGTCTTCTGGATCGTCTTGGGTGTCTTCGTCGTGACGAACGTGATCTTCGTCCTGTTCGCCAGCGGCGAGGTTCAACGCTGGAACGATCCCAATTTCGTCATACGGAATCAGGAGGAGATGAAGCAAAAGAAGATGAACGACAGGGCAGAATCGGTGGAGAAATATTGAAAGCGTTGCCCACGGCGCTTTCCCTCGCGGAGAGCGCTAGGCTCTTAACAAACAGCCGGGCTCGTTAATAATCTCGTCATCATCCCGAGACGTCGCGCTTCCTCGACGGAAGCCATTCTCAAGGTCCGCCTGTCATCTCGCCAACGACTTTCAACCAAGATCTCACATCCGCGTGAAGGAGAGATGTCTGAGAAAGACGCGCGCTGACACCTCTCGCGCGCGCGCGCGATCCTTGAGTGATAATTTACGCGCGGCATTAAATCGCACGCTGCCGGAATGCATCTCGAGTTTTCACGTCAGAACGCGTATCGCGAGCGCTCAATGCGCCGGTGACATTTGCAAGCGAGCCGTTTTCGTCGTGAAAGGAGACACTGTAAATTAAAGCCGATAGGCCGATAGCGATTGTACATATTGCGTAAGGATTAAGTGTATAGTATAAGTTTTACTTCATTTTATGTAAAACGCTAATCGCGCATCTCTATCGCCATTTCTAATAGGGAACGGTGCCCGAAGAAATCGGGTTTTCCCCGGTTGGTCGCGGAGAATTCGATTCTTCTTCTTCTTCTTCTTCTTCTTTTTCGGGGGTAAGGCTGGTCCTTCTGTCGAGTCCAAATGGGCCATGGCATAGACATAGACATAGACTGAGCGTCCCATTGAATAAGCTGAAGCTTGTGAAGAGAGAGAGAGAAGATTTAAGAAGACTTTCTTTTTCTGTCTTGCACTCGTCTTGCCATCGTAAAAGAAAAGAATCGTGCCTGCGCAGTACCACACGTGATTCTCCCTTGTCACGATGGTGAGACGGAGAAAGAAGGTCTTCTTAAATCTTCTCTCTCTTCACAAGCTTCAGCTTATTCAATGAGACGCTCAGTCTATATTTACTAACCGATAGTCGAAGGGAAAACTCGATTACTTCTTATTGCGAAAGAGCGATCGCGGTAATGTCGACGAGTGTTGTCGAGTCATCCAGTCGTACTCACTTTGCTGAACTGTCGACTACCGTCCCAATAGCCCAGAATACAAAATGAGGAGCTTCAAGGTGGGCCTAATCAACTTGTCAATTTTCTATCTGCTTCGCAAATTTCAATAGATATGCAATGTGATACGCCGTTTAAAAATGCACTACGATCATGCAAAGTGGGCGAGATATTCGCTGGGTAAACAACGGCGGACGACGACTTCGGCCGAGCGGCAGCACGTCGATTTTGCGCAATCTCTCGTCGCAACGATCGCATTGTTACGCGTCGCGCCTAATTATACGCGCTCGAATTCGGTTTGTCGCGCAATATCGCTATTTTTAAACGCCGTCGTCTGGAGACGCGCTACTAGAGCGCGCCGTGCAAATCTCCGCGATTGGCACCCGCGAGCGCAGAATTCGTGTATCGGAGAACGTAGCGAGAGCGTATGCAAATTGAGAAATGGACGACTGAGATGCTCGCCGAAAAGGACCCCGGGATCCTTTCTCGCCGCAAAATACACTCGCGAAAATACTTGGCGAGCATCGCTGTATTCGGCCGAAGTCGGTCACTTTCGTGCGCGCTTCTCTTATCGCGCCTACTTGCAAGGATAACGAGCGCGTAATCTTACAAAGATATCGACAGATACGCGGCGCGCGACGGCCGCGCAACTCATGAATCGCTAATTTAGTTTTTGTCATTATTACGCTTATTATGCGGACTTATTAATACGTCGATGATCCGCATTCCTGCGAACCTGCTCCGCGAATCCAGAACGATTCAACTATTCTCTCTAAGGTCGCCCTTTTCCCGCTCTACGTCAGGGGTCGACAAACTGTTTCTCTGCAAAGGATAGCGGATATTTGAGCGCGACATTAAAATTGGACAGACGATCGAGCACATTGAATGTTTTGTATGGTCTCCGGACTTCTTTTGCATTTCCTCTCTTATCGTTAAAAATCTGAAGTCTTGTACGTGTCCACAATGCTAGAAATCAGTCCGAGAATCCTAGCGGAAATAATTCTACAAAATTCTACAAAAAAACTACAAAAACTAAAATATAACTGCCAGAAGCTATGAAATTCTACGTAAATTTAAAAAGTGATATAAAAATCAATAGAAAAATGCTAGAATTGGAACACTTTTGTTAATTTTTGTAATATTTTACAAGCAGACGTTCTAATTCTTAAACATTTTGTTGTTTCTCAACTTTTTCAAACTAGTAAAGTTTTTGTACTAATTTTTACAAAATTGTACACTTTCGTGAAATACTACTTACAATAATTTCCTGATTTGAAAACATTGTAATTTGTGGTACTATTTCGTAGATATTTCTACAAAAAAAAATTAATGTTTCAACGAAGATATAAAAATTTCTACAAATTTCTATTTCAAGTCAATTTTTGTAGTTATTTATAGAAATGTTGTCCGCTAGGGAAATCTGTAGCCAATAACTAACTTAACTTTTCTGTAAAAGATGCAAGTTGATCGGCTGCACGGAACAAAAATGACGTTGCAGCCACAAGATCAGTGTAATTGAAATAAAATCGTTGAAGCAACATCAGTATTAATAAACGAAGAACATCGAATAGTTGTGTTAATAATCTGGATATTTAGTTCAATGCTTAAAGTTAAAATCCACAGCAAATACAATTGAGCGAATTATTTATGTTTGTGGCGGCCGGTGACGTTAACGTTTAATTCAAGCAGCTTTATTATTTTAAATTCAACAGCACTTTTTTTCCGTGTATACTGGGAATCACGGATGCCTTCCCACAAGAATTTGTGCACATATCGACACATTTATGCATTTTGCATATACATACATGGAAAGTGTACAGTCATCGGCAATGAATCGTTTCGCAAGAGGGGAAGCGACTTAAGTTTCTCCACTCTAGCCGATCGGCGAATTATCAACGAGTGGGAGAACAACAATTCCCCTCTCGCGAAGCGATTTATTACCGGTCAGTGTATATGTTCTACCTGTGCCTAAATTCGTATGGGGATGCATCAGTGGATTCATAGTCAGATCTTGTATTCAAGACTGTCTTAAGAACACCTTCAGATACTCCGTAGCCAATGGCTACGTTCGGCAGAAAAAGCTGCTTTGCAACTGTTGTAAAATTCATGAATCTGATTGGCGTATGCTCTTAAATTCACACAAGATTGAGAGAACACACCAATCAGATTCACGAATTTTACAACAGTTGCAAAGCAGTTTTTCCTGCCGAACGCAGCCAATGAAATGTTCCGTACGGCATCTTTAGATAAATTCAAGACGGTCTTGAATATAAGGTCTGCCTATGAATACCGGCCCTGGTGTACATATTTCTCGAATCAATTTCTAGCGGCGTGGACGCAAGGCACGATAAAACGGCGATTGGATAAGTCTAGGCATGTCTAGGACGTCTCGCTTATCTCCCTATAAAATTATATACAATCATATGTAATTAATGTAAATAATATATGTATAATACAAATTTAAATACATGCGCAAATATGTGTAAAAAAAAGGGAAAAAAGTCTGTCGCATTACGCAATTAGAAGGGCTTGCTTCTCGCTCGCTCGAGCCTCGGCGTTGAGTCCCGTGGCATTGCGTGCCAAATTGCGGGGCTCGCGGCGTATTGCGCGCATCGCGCACGTTAAACAATGGTCGGACGGCACGGCGCGGCCAGCCCGCCCGCAATTACCCTATTTTTAACGAGCCTCACGCAGGCGGCGTTGTTTTTTTTTTCTAAGTAAACGCCAATTAGCCGACAGGCACATCCGCGATCGCACGGACGGTTAAATTCACGATGCCGTTCCTCGCGGGGGAGACAACCTTCATTTTCCTACCGAGGGCGTGTCTCGCGAGGAGATGCAATTTTTCACGGGGATTGCACGCGGAGCCACGCGACAAGAGGACGCGTTGCGTAATCGTCGCGGGACGGTCCGCTTCGGTCACATTTTATACGTGCTCGCCTTTCCCCCTCCTCCCGCGTCTCACCTAGAAATCCGTAAATGCATACGTTTTATTATAGATAATATGACACGTCAACGTCGACGTACGAACGCTTCGTTGCAAAAGCTGAGGATATAAAAAAAAAGTGAAACGCAGCCGCGTTCTATTTTCTTTTGTACTAAATCTTCCTCTCATTTACGTTCGACTCTGGCCGTATTGCTCTTCAAACAGAAGACGGCGAGAAACGATTTGTCGAAACGATGTCGATCGACGAGCCATTCCTCGCTGGGAAGACAGGTGCCGTGTAAATACAGATAAGAAGAAGAGGAGGACACCCACATCGTTCCGGAGGCTACGATTTCAGCGCATTCCCTCAATAATGCATTGTTGTAATGGAAAAAAAAGAGCGGAAAAAAAGGAGAAATCGACGATATTTTTTTATCTCGTTTGCTCTCGGCCACGTGGGAGACAGGGAAGATAATGCACACTTCGCTCCACATACATGCGTAATGACACGGCATTCTATTAATGTAGCGTGCATTACTACGGTATTCATTGAAGTGGAATGGAATTGCCGAAGGTGTATATCAGAGCGTATGATTATCGTTCGGTAACAAGTGGAGAGGAAAAAAAGGTGTATGCATTTTATGACTCTCGCGCTGTGGGGCGGTGATGGATGTTGTACGCTGGGAATCACTGATGCCTTACCATACGAATTCAGGTGCGCGTAGACACACATACATTGTCCATGTATGTGTGTGCAAAATATGGAGAAAAGTAGCCCATTGTCACGCTCCTAGTATGAGACAGCGGAGTTTCTGCTAAATCGATAGGCACCGTCCGTTGGTTCCACCATGAATCTGTTGCCCTTGGAAATCTGTTTAGTGGAAAATACACTCACCCGCAAAAAAAATGGGCCACCACATTTTAGCCCAATTTTTAAACATTTTTCAATAGCGATAACTCGGCGAAAAATCATCGTAGAAAAATGATTAAAAAAGCATTTTGAAGCTTGAAGTTTCAACTTTGAAATGCTGTCAACAATTCTTTAAAATTCGTTTATCTTCCTTGTTCTATGCTTTAAAAAAGAACACATTGTTTTTTTTTCTTAGAATTACGTATTTTTGACGCTCTGTGGCTGGATAAAAAAATTTGTCTCGAAAATATCATCTCAAATTCCATAAACTACAACTTCTTGGCTACAAAACGCTTTTTTAATCATTTGTCTACGATGAGTTTTTGCTGAGTATCGACAACATTTCTAAAAAGTACAGGTTTAGCTTCAAAATCGTATATCTCGGTCAGAAAACATCGTAGGACAATTTTTAAAAAAGCGTTTTGTAGGCAAAGAGTTGTAGTTTATGAAATTTGAAATGATATTTTCGAGACAAATTTTTTTATCCAGCCACAGAGCGTCAAAAATACGTAATTCTAAGAAAAAAAACAATGTGTTCTTTTTTAAAGCATAGAACAAGGAAGATAAACGAATTTTAAAGAATTGTTGACAGCATTTCAAAGTTGAAACTTCAAGCTTCAAAATGCTTTTTTAATCATTTGTCTACGATGATTTTTCGCCCAGTTATCGCTATTGAAAAATGTTGAAAAATTGAGCTAAAATGTGGTGGCCCATTTTTTTGCGGGTGAGTGTAGATTGTTAGATCGTGTAATCGTTGCGAAGAAAGGATTTGTGGCCGAATTTGGACGT